CACACACACACAGAGAGAGAGAGAGAGAGAGAGAGAGAGAGAGAGAGAGAGAGAGAGAGAGAGTACGAACACACATTGGTTAGTACGAGGGAGGCTTACAACAGCCTCCAGGAATGTGACAATCTCTTCGGTACGGGGAAGTTATGGTGTTTCTCCATTTCTCATATCTTACGGCGGTGGATTCACCTTAGGTGGCTGTTTGCTTTTCTCTTCACTCGCTAGATTAGTCCTCACATCCATTGCTGCCGAAGTCGACAGATGAATCGCCTATGTCGATCGATCAACTGGGCAATTGTCCTATCTCTGGTGACGTGACTTCTCTCTCTCTCTCTCTCTCTCTCTCTCTCTCTCTCTCTCTCTCTCTCTCTCTCTCTCTCTCTCTCTCCCCCCCCCTTGCGGGTGCGCACGCGAGTGTATGTGTGCTCGTCTGAGACATACGTCTTTTGTGTTTACGAGTGGTTTCGGATCGCGACTAGCGTCTTCACCCGAATACAACGTACGGTCATTCTAGCTGTATTTGACGCAACTTTGAGTCTAGATGCAGCAATAATGACCGTATGTTGAAGTCGGGTGAAGACAGTAGCACAGAAAATCCCCGGCACCATTCCCGTTTTATGTGTTTCCAAGGACATGGTCGGAGGACGATTCAGTGACCGTTTGAAAGGAAGGGTACGGTAATAGTACGGTACACTCATGCCATGTACGGAGGGATATATCATATATATCATCACATAAATATGAGAGCGCAAAAGCGGAAAAAAAGGAAAAGAATGAATTCGTTTTTTTATCTCTTCTTCCTTACAACTCCCCCTGTTGAGAACCTCTTGCGTACAAGGCCGCCCACGTGGATGTTGGTTGAGCGGCGGCTGCCCCCACCCCCGTGTGTCATATCGACCCACTTGCACACAGCCAGAAGGCAAAGAGGCAAAGAAAAGAGGAAGGGAACAGCCAAATAATACAGAACAGGGGGCAACAAAACAAATCCCAGATGACACGTCCCACATGCAAGCACCGCCCCCACGCGGGAAGACGATTGTGATTAGAGCGTTACACAAAGCAGTCAAATCGTACTGAGTCTCGCAGAGCACAATGCACATACATTTTCAGATGCAAGATGTACGCCAAGAGAAATTTGGCTACCCGCCTTCCCCCGAATAGAACTGACGGTCATTATGCCTGCGTGTGGGGCAACTTTCAGTCTAGATACAATGATAATTACCGCACGTTCTATTTGGCGGAACACGGCAGCACGTAGTTGGAGAGTGTAATGGAACATCTGGCAAGCCTCGCTATTACGTATTAGCCATTAGCCCCAGCTGTGCGCTTGAGGTCCATAGCTCTGGCAAGCCTCGCTATTACGTATTAGCCATTAGCCCCAGCTGTGCGCTTGAGGCCCATAGCTCTGGCAAGCCTTGCTATTACGTATTAGACAATGCTTTGAGTGAATCTACAACTCTATGCCTCTTGGAAAAGCTGTATAGGTATCCTGTGATGAGGAATAAAATCAGTAAGCCTCTGTAAAAGCAGATGTTACGTTATGACTGGCTTTACCAAGCGCCCTATAAAACCGAGAAGACTGGCGAGCCTCAAGTTCTTCTATGGCCGTTACAGGCCTGGTGTTATGTGTGCTGCACGACCCTCAATGTGGTTTGATATGGCCTTTACGGGCCTCATGTTATATGACCCTTACGGGGCGGGGAAATATTTCTCTTGCACGAGAGAGAGAGAGAGAGAGAGAGAGAGAGAGAGAGAGAGAGAGAGAGAGAGAGAGAGAGATCTATATATCTATATATCTATATGCAGAGACACAGATAGAGAGAGAGAGAGAGAGGGGTCAGGAATACGTAGCTGAAGGCCGAGTCGTCCTGAGTTATGGTACTGAGATAGCTGTTCACAAGGCTGGAAGTGTTGTGCCGCGTGCTCGAGGGTTCCCATCACAATCGTATGGTCCAACCCAAGTTAATTGCTCGCAGATTCGTCGTATGACCCCACGTTCTATTCGGGGGAAGAAGGTGACCGAAGTGATGCGGGATCGGTCACGAGAGCCACCCTCGACATATATTGTTCTCAAGTGCTGAAGCACTGCAACTCTGTGACGATCCGTTATGGGAAAAAGTAACTTCAACTTGAAAGGCACAAGCCTACGAGTGTATGGGTTAGCAAGTATGGAGTTCAAACTCTGGCCCAGTTGCTGGTGGGTGTGAAGAACGTTAGGAACCAGAAGCTGCACAGCGGCTGTCTTTGTCGAGTATATATCTTTCGCTGGAGAGAGAGAGAGAGAGAGAGAGAGAGAGAGAGAGAGAGATGTCTGTGCAACCAGTAAGTGGAGCATCTTGTACGCCATGGGAGCGATCGCGCGTGCAGGGGGCATGGGTTTCCTGTGTTGCTGACCTAGCTTCTTGTACTGCAAAAATGCTGGCATCAACAGCCATGATTGCAGTCGTGACCGGGCAGCAATGTCGGCAGTTTCGCGTGTTTCCGCCCACTGGGTTTCGTTCATCATCTTTCTATACTTAGAGCAGCGAGTGGATTTCGGCTGCCACTGCCATGGGCAGTGTAATAGACCTTATTGGCCCCGCGCTTTGCTGCCTCGTTTCCCCAGCCTACCCGTCCATGCAATGCCATTGGGATCACGTCGCACTTGGATTTCTTCCGTCGTAGATTCGACTACTAGCGCTAATGCTGCCGTTGGCAAAGAATGTAATCCTCATCAGCCGCACGCGCATCCAAAGGGAATCGAGTTCGTTCGAATATGATGACGCAATTGAAATTAACTATGACTTCGATCGACAGAGTATAGGATCGAATCCTACTCTGGCGTTGGTGAACGACTGCTTAACCAGTCGCCCAGAGTAAGTAAGAGCCGTGAGTAAATGAACCCTTCCTTAAACAATCGCGCTTGATTAAACACTCGCAATCATTAACCAGTAACGACACCTTCTTCGTGACGGACAAACAAAAAGCACGCACATTTGTTTAACGATATGTATTAACCACAACCGGGGCCAAGGTGGATTATCCCTTACAGTATAATCAGTTAGGGCATTGTGCAGACTGTTGAGGGTTCGGCCTCCTGATGAGTCGGTGAAACTCCGACGTAAAAGTTTGTCACAGCCCCTTGTTTGTTTGTCCTCTTCTCCCTCCCTGCCTACGGTTTACCGGGCAGTTCTGTTTGACGGAAGAACCGACAGTCTGTAGAGTTTTCCATCTGGTGTGGGTGAGTGATAGTCTGCTTTGATTTTCGTCACAGGTACCTCGAGGGCAGTGCTTGGTGTCCGCATCAGGGTATCAGTTGTCGGGCAGAGGTTGATGCTTAACCACAACCAGGGTTAAGGTGGATTCTCACTTACAGTGTAATCAGTTAGGGGATTCTGCAGGCTGTTGAGGGTTCAGCATCCTGATGAGTCGGTGAAACTCCGACGAAACAGTTTTCCACAGCCCCTCGTTTGTTGTCCTCTTCTCCCTCTCTGCCTATGGTTTACCGGGCAGCTCTGTTTGACTATATATATAGATCAAAAACGAATTAAAGGTTTTTTGGTTTTCCTTGTTTTTTTTGCTTTGGCGCTCTGATATTATGTGACAATATATAGCTGGCCTTGTACGTAAGAGGTTATGAACAGGTGGAGCTTTCCTTACCTCCTTCCCTTTCCCTTTTTTCCTTTTCCTTTTTTCTTTTCCCTTTTT